CCTAAACACATTACCTTCATACTGAATCCAGTTCTGAATGGCCTTCTCGACCGTCAAGCTCTTATAGGGAGCATTCGCATATGGAACATAATCCCGACTCTTTGGCCATGGAAATGGGGTGACATACCCCTTAGGTGCTGGAATAAGGCAATGCAACTTCTTTTCTGGAGGCGGACAATGCCTTTCTCGATAGATCATATTTTCCCTTGGGAAGTGCATAGCACGCTTTTGATCTTGACATGGTGTATGATCAGTGTAACGAGGACGACATGGCTTAAATTTTTTGACTTCTCTTGCTGAATCATCAAAACTACCTGCTTGGCCACCATGTCGAGTCTCAAAATTGATATTTGGTAGGATATTGCAGTTCTCACCACTTTTGGTGACTGCCAGAGCTATACTATCTCCCTTCCCAACACCACTTCTCTGCCATGATCCAAGCAAATAGAAGAAGCAACAGAGGCCAGCTACAATAAATATTGACACAGAAGTCCTGGTCCTATTGTCCCCCAAGCTTTTGTTTGCCATTGCTGTCCTGAAATGATTTCAGCATTGAGTTAGGAAAGTGAAGGAAACTGAATACTGATACACGTGTTTTTTTTTAAATGTATCAGAAGTATAACTAGATCAGAGCATAGTTCTGCAATAATTTGTTCGTTGAGGTCCCAAAAAATCATAGCTTTTGGTACCGAATGCTGTATAGTGTATGAGATTCTAGAAATTAGCAGAAGTAAATTAAAGCTATGAAAGGAAAATCAGATAAAGCTCCTTTTTCTCCCTGACACTCCAATAACTGCAAATTAAGGTAGCAGGAGATCACCAGTGAATTATAAGCACCTAGCAGTGTACTTGGATCAAAATCAAACTTTTTACTCCCTCTATCCCAATTTATGTGACATTTTTTCCTTTTCAGTCCGTTCTAAAAAGACTGTGACATTTCTATAATTGGAAACAATTTTTTGATGACCACATTTCTATAATTGGAAACAATTTTTTGATGACCACATTTCTATAATTGGAAACAATTTAAACTTTAAAATAATCATTTTCCCCTTAATGAAATAATTTACAGGCACACAAATGGTCAAGGAAGAGTATTTCTTTCTTAAACTTTGTGCCAAGTCAAATGTTGCCACATAAATTGGAACAGATGGAGACATGGAGTACTTGTTTTCCAGTTGGAATACACAAAAGTTTAACAAACCAATCCATAAATCAAGCTTTTAAATACGTTTTCTTTTAGTTTCTTAAACAGTAAACAGGTATATTAATAAATAACAGTGCATCTGAACTATTCAGAGCTACAAAAAGAGAAAGAAAAGCTATATGAAGCAGTGGCGGAGCCACCCTATCTTTAGGGGGGTCATCCGACCCCCCTTCGGCGGAAAATTATATTATTTTTACATGGTTAAAATATTTTATTATGTATATATAGTAGATGTTGAACCCCCTTAGGCTACTTCGTGTGTCTATTTCTTTAGATTTTGAACCCCCTAATTAAAAATTCTGGCTCCGCCACTGATATGAAGCCAAGAACTGATGAAATGCTAAAAACTGCAACATATTACACTTTAACTACACCTAAGAAGTTATTATGATACAACATAAGAAAAGATTTGAACTTTACACAGTTAATGGGTCTAGAAAGTGAAAGTCTCACTTGACAAATGAATCAATCAAACTGACAAGAAAGATAGGAACTTTATAGTCAAGAACCCCAATGAATAAATGAAAGATCAGCTATATCGGGTTGAATCAGCATACCAATAGCATGAAATTCCCCCCTCCCCCAGCCACCCCCACCCCCACACACTTTCTTAATGACCTTCCAACTCTGATTTATTTTGCTTTACAGTCCAGAACAGAAACTTGAAAAACAAGAACTGATACTTAGAGCAGACCCAAGAAAATAGGTCTTTAACTATACCCCATATGAAAAGATTTGAACTTTATACAGTAAATTGGCTTAAAAGTGAAGTCTCACTTGAAAAATGAATCAATCAAATCAAACTGGCAAGAAAGATAGGAACTTTAAAATCAAGAATTCAAATAATTGAATGAACCATCAGCTATAGAGAGTTGAATCAGCATACCAATGGCATGAAATTTTTTTCCAACACTTCCTTTTACTGGCTTTCCTGCTTTATTTTGCTTTGTAAGTCCCCAACTCAGATATGAGTTTCAAATTAAATCAAGAACAGAAAACACTGCAAAACCCCTAATTTGTTTTTTTTCAATGCTATCTACAAGTATATAACATCAAATTTACAACTCTCTGTGTCTCTCTTTACAACTCTCAGTTGTTTCAGATGTTCTTTTTTTTTTGTTTTTGCGGTGGTGGGGGCGGGGGGGGGGAGTGGGGTAGGGGAGGTTTCTGTTTAATCCATATTAATAATCATATCAGTGTTTGCTGAATGGGCAAGGAGGTTCGAAGTCCATAAAATCAAACCGTAACTGATAAGCTAATTATAAAATTGACTTAATAGATATTTGAATTATCAGATTAAAGGTTAATGAGCATGTATTTTCAAAATTTAGATTTTTATATAATTTTTATTGTGAATTATAATTACAAAATTATGAGCTTAAGTAAGTCAAAATAATTATTTTGTTTGATTGAATATCTATATAATGGTGAGTGAAAGTGAAAGAAGAGAGCATGAAATGAAGGAGCCCGTAAATTGTTAACAACTCCATTCTTATTTATACGTCGTCCTTAATAAGAATAGATGTTCTTTAATACTACTTGTCATTTCACAAATCAATGCATAAATGACACTATTATTCTCATTTTATCCGGAGAGTTATTAATCTTTAAAGTGTAAATTTGACAAACATATAAAAACTAAATAATTAATTTATCTTCATTGGTCAAATTAATTAATCAAAATAAATTAATTCATTTATTAAAAACGTTGACTTGTACAAAACACTAAATAAGAGTACAATTATAAACTAACTTAGTTTTTTAAGGGGCGTGAAACCTAAAATAATGACATATAAATCAACTGTTGGCTTATTGATATGCTAGTAGATTAGTATATTTAAAATTCGATATTCAATAAGTCAAATTGTTAAGCATAATTATCTATCTGATCCGTCTAATAAGCAATCCTACCTCTCAAATGCCATGGGACCCAAAAGAGTAAATACTTATTTATTGATTTAGCGTAATTATCTATATACGGATAATTAATATTTGAAATAGAATATTTTGTTGATTTTGGATAAGTATTTGTAATTGGAAATTTTTTTGACTCACAATAGTAAATTTGAGAGTATGGGCATTATCAAAAGGAAATGGGACCTACAATTCATGAAGAATCTAAGACCGTACAATGTGGTCCATCGATTTAGTAGTCGGCAGGATGAACGTCTTAGGAGTGGCAATTGGGCGGGGCGGGTTGTGTTAAATTTGAACGGATTATAATGGGTTAAAATAATAATTGGGTTAAAACCTAATCATGTCCAAATTTGCTTGGGTCAAAATGAATTGGGTAACGAGGTACATAACAGGTCAAAATCCAACTCAATTCAATTTTTTCTAAGCTTAATTTTTTTATTTATTCTTTTAAACTATTTTAGTACCTAATAAAATCATTACATTTTCTTTATTATGACTATATATAACATATCAAATTAAAAATAAAAAAAAGGAACTTTTGCGAATAACCACTATAATAAACTTAATTATGTTTCATAGCTGTAGTTTACAAATTTACGGGTTATAGCTACAGTTTTAGCTGCCTCGATTGTATAATTCGCGGGTACATTTGTATAATTTAGTTGTTTTTGTATAAACTCGAAAAAATGAATTTATACAATTACAAACATCAGAAGTGTAAGCAATTATACAAATTATATTATACAAATTTCGAATTATACAATATTTATACAAATTGCATTATACTAATTCCGAATTATGTAAATGTGCGAATTATACAAAATCTAAAAGTTGAGCCGCGTAATTATAGCTAAAAGTAGGTCACGAATTGTAATTAAGGCAAACTATAGCTATGTTAAGTAATTAACTAATACATGTTTGCTTATACGCGTAATTTTTCCAAAAAAAAACAATTTTTTTTAACAAGATTTGTCATGAGCCAATTCGGGGTACATATCAACCCAATTTTTAATGGGTTAAAATGAATTGAGTTAATGAATGAGCGGATCAATAATCAACTCAAACTTAACCGGATTGAGCGGGTTGGGTTTGATTTTGCCACTCCCCAATACTAGCAAGTAGCAACGAAGAGGGCCAAAACTCCAACTATTGAATTTATTTTCGGATAACTTATAAAGACTTTCACGAGTTTGTTAGTTAAGTACTTAAATTTATAATAGTTTCTAATATTACAAATCTTACTAGATTTTAGACTATGAATATGTGTATTTGACGCATTATAATATTACAAATCTTACTAGATTTTGAATTTCGAATACATGTATCTCGAATACATGAGGTCAAAATTAGACATAATTTGTTCTAAATATACCGTACTCAAATGAATGCACATGTATCTGACTCTCTCGCTCGCCTCTCTTCTATATGACTTGAAATTTGATATTAAATTATCAATTTCAAACTATAGAGCAAATTAGTAAATATAATAGGAATTTTATTGAATTAAATAGTTTTTCCTTTTAAAATTTTTTTCATCTTGTATCTCCTAAAAACCTTATCATTAATATTTAGAGTAGTTTAAAAATACCCTTGCGACTGAGACTAAAATAAATTTATGAATATAGTCAATACTTTTAAAATAAAATCTTAGAATATAAACGTAGATTGAAAAATTGCATATGTTTTTGATTCATATCTTTTACATGAATGTTCATATTTAATTATCTTCCTGGATAATCTAAACAAGCAAATGCTACCAAAATCTATTGGCATAATCTTTATACAAAGCCTTTTTATATATCTATATTCAACAATAGAGTAAAAATAAATTTAGCCAACTGAACTGAAAAAAAAAAAAAAAAGTTTTCTACAAGACATGATACAAAACTGGTCTCAACCAGATGTGAAAAATGGTTACTAAATGTCATACATACATACCAAGATCAAAAGAATTTTAATATAGAGCTTGGTAAAATTGTTGGTTCTTGAAATGACATGAGATGCTGCTATTATATCCACAATACTACTTACAAAACGACGCAGCATCTACGTTTAAGAAACGAGGCTCGTCAATGCAGGAACCAATACTCGCATGTGACAATATTAAACCCGATCCATTGGTGCAGGCACAGACGAAGAGTTCGTTGATGCAGGGACAGATGGTGTAGCTGATGCCATGGCAAACTGTACACCTGTTGGCTGCCCAGATTGTACCACAAATGCAAATTGTGCTGTTGCTAATGCTGCTGCCTCCTGTTTTCACCAAACCATGAAAACAAGCTTTACATTTAATTATATAACGAAAAAACACATATGCGCGCGTGTTTCAATGTATTCAACTGATTCACGTGGCAAATGTTGAGGAAAATATTTCAAACAGCAAAACTAACACCAACCTCTCTTTGTCTGCGCTGCTGCAAAATGCTGATGGCCCAGACCATGATGTAGCAAGGTAAAAGAAAGCCAATTAACCGAAGCAAGAAAAGCTGCATACCATACATTTATGGGAGTTATAATTCCAGCAGTAGTAATAAATCCTTTTATGAGAAACAGATAGACGTAGATAGAGCATAACGGATATTAATAATTACAGAGAAGAAAGCAGAGGGATCTTCGTCATCTCCATCTGCATCTGCTACAGGTAATGCATGTCGCAAGAGCAGAAAAGCCATTAACTGCCACAATTGTATGTAGATCATCAGAATTAAGGCAAATTTGCATATATACATGCATATGTGCCTGTGTGTAGACATCAGCTCCAACTCAACCACAAAATAAGGAAATATGGTATACATTATCATCTATATCATGGAAATATATGATACTGTTTCTCTTCATATTTTCTTCACAGCCAATTGAAACGTAGAGGATAAAGAAAATCTTGAGGTAAATGAATAAGGACAGTGGAAGAGGCAACATCTATGTTCCTAGAATTTTCTCTTGTATACCTACAAGATTATTTAGACAATCTCAAAATTTTGGAAGCATCTACCCACTCCTACAAGGTGAATCAAGCAAGAAGCAATGACAGAAATGCAATGCTAGAGGCTTAGGGCCAGCGAGGACAGTTACCTTTACGTCTTTCTGTAAGGTCTGCTTGGACATGATTTTTTTCTTTTTTTCCAAAATTATTTTTCAAAGCATTGTTTGGTTATTTATTGGAAGGACTTTTTAGATTATCTCTTTTTCTAACAAATAAAAGAATCTAAAAATAAATATTCAATCGAATTGGTTAGTTTTTGAAGATGAGTTTTTCAAGTAAGAACATTTTCCACTCACAAACTTCAATGCTTTTCAAGTGACATGTCCAAACACAATTTCAACTTCCAAATACCATTTTTTACCTTCAAAAATACTTTTTTTCAAGTTTCAACCAAATCTATACCCAAACGTCTACTTAGAATTCTAGATTTCTTCTGGGACAAATAGCAGTAAATGCTTACAATTAGAGCAGCAGAACGGCAGAACGCAACACCACTTGCATTTGTAGCATTATAATCATCATATTCAGCTTCCAAAAGTTGGCGTTCAGCCTCTCTAATTGCCAAAAGGCGAGGATCGTGTAATTCCAGAGGTGTGCCAGCAATTTGCCATCCTCCCCTGCATAACAATGAAGCAACCCAAAGAGCTAATGAACTGTGAAGAAATGTTGAATCTTGTGACCAACGCCACTTAACTAATATTTGGAAAAAGAAGATCTGTGGGTAATAATATGACACAATGGACTGCACACATTATTGTCAAAGGCAAAGCACATTTGGAACCTCAACTTTAACTGCCATTAGAATGAGCTTGCCCAAGAAAAAGTTGCTTTTATGTACTAATACACACACACACATGCACACACAGACATGTATATGTACGGACAAATAACACTTATATCAACAGAGGAATAGGAAATCTTTTGACTAGTGGAAAAAAAAAAGGAAAGTAAAAGGCTAAAGGCAGGTCAATCAAGTTCATAAACCACCCCAAATATGCAGATGCAGATTCAATCAGTAGTTTCCTTATACCAATTTTCTGTTCCTAAATACGAGCATAGTCATCTGTAGGATCCTCCTCCTTAATGCCCTTATGACTCTCATTGGTATCACATATTACATATTTTTTCTTTTTGTATTGTTCTCTTAACAATTACTATATTGATTTAATCGTTATACTTATTGTCTAGAGTTGCCCTCTTCAAGATACCATCTATGACTCTCCCAAAGTAACCGAATTAAGAAGAATAACTGTTGGTTGGTTGGAATTGTCTAAAGTGAATGCCTCACCACCTTGGTGCCTCAGTAGAGCACACATATCCTAGCAGAGAGTTCAGCCGGTGTTGTGAGCTACTAAAGCATGCCTTTAACAATGCTACTGAAAAGCTGCTTGAAAAAGAAAAATTTAAGACATATCTAACAAAGGAAACCTGCACTAAAGAAAGTTAAACTCACCCAATATCTATAATTGTATCCTCCGACCGAGATCGAGGAGGGGCAGTGTAACCAGGCTGGTATTGCTGCATTTGAGAATGAAAAAGGAAACGTATTATATAAATAAAGCAGAAGGGCAATAGAATATGCTAGAATTCAAAAGCATCGCTCAATCCCAAGTTCTCCAAAAAGACAGATAGATAGCCAAAACATTGTCTGATAAAACAAAGCATTGATTCTATCCACAATAAAGCAATTCTACTGAATCTTGTCCATCCATGCATATGTAATACATCAAATTATAGTTATAATGCTGATATTTTAGAAAAATAAAACATTTCCAATACTAAAATTCTAGTGCCATCTGAAGTACTTTGCCAAGAAACATCCTCATTGACATGTATGCTCATATCACAAAAATAAAACATATATAAATTGACTACCATGATTCAGTTCCATGTGCTATAAAGTAAAAAGGATCCATTTTTTCCATAACAGATGAAAGAGACAGACAGCTTCACAAACAAGAAAATATAATATTGCACTTTTTGTTGGAGGATGGTTTTTTCCTTTTTGACATGAGATGAGAACTTGCTTATTTAATAGAGAAGTCCTCTTATCAGTCTCACAGCATGCAAGATACGGTGCAAAACAACACACAGACATACCTGATGGCAAATCTCACAAGTAATATCACCCTTCTCGTTGCACCAGTGTTGAACACACTTTCGATGTGCATACTGCAGGTCAATTGTTTCCACTAAAACCATCAGTACTTATACAAATTTACTGTTCCAACTAAAAGAAAAAAGCAAATTGAAGAAAGAAAGTGAGGTAAACTGTAAACAGGATGTAGAGCAAAACCTCTTGAAATACAACTATAGAGATCACATAATTTATCAGTAAAATAAAATAAGAACAGAAACACCAAGTGTTGTGCAACTATATAGGGGCAATATTCGGAAGGTGTAGATAAGACATCGGACAACCAGCATTCACATATACTTAGGATCATGATATATACAAAGAAAATAGAACATCATGAGGATAGCAAAAAGTGTCAAAGCAACTTGAAGGAGTATATAATTAAGTAGTGTCATAAGAATTTCTCAGGTGAGTAAGTGTGATGATGACATCACCAGATATCATAATATGAGGCAAAGTTCATGTCTTGGCTCAAAAAATGTTGATGACCACAACCTAAGGGAACAATCTTGCTTAATGGGCTTCAGATAATAGCCTAAGGAAGGATTAGATCACCAATGAGGCAACATGGAGACATAAACAAACAACGGTAAAGTCACCATCATGCAGGGAATAATCATTTTCCTGATAGCAGGCAGACAAAGGAAGTCGGAGGGTTAACAATTGATTGTTGACATGTCCAGGAGAAAGATCTTAATGCAACAAACATTAAAACTGACTTCTACGGCAAAATTTTGTGGAAGTCAAGATATGATCAAATTAGGGGGAAAATATATCAACTAACTTTGAATGGTCAAAGAGATTCTGGTGAACATGTCAGAGGGATTTTCTCTTCATGTACACTAAGCATCAGAGCCAAAGTTTGCACAATGTTTGACAAGGGAAAGGTCAAATTCACTGACTACGCACAATACATGGTACAAGTCTTCCTCTGCTAGCAAAATTCAGGAGTATATATTACAAGAGGACAAGGTTGTATCCTTTTCCATGAATAAGACGACAATTAACTTCCACTTATCTCAAGTGCCTATAATTAAGAAGTGTAAATATTCGGATACAACCTAGTACAATTTGAGAACATAAATATTTTTAATTTTGGAGCAAATATGGAACTCTGACTATGTTAGCTTCTGAAAATACAACTGATCTCAAGCTATAAAGGAGGATAGTAGTGGTCGGCTATTGAAGGTCAGCCTAATCATTGTATTATTATGATGATCCATTTAAACACTAGATGAGCAAAATGAATTTAGAGGATTCATATAGTGGACACTAACTAGTACGACATTAACGCATGGTTGATTGATTTAGATCAGACATGAACAATAAGGAAAAGGAAGCTACCTTATAAGCTCACAAAACCCCTAAAATGTAAGATGTGTGTGTTAAAGTTGTCCCACATCAATTGCGGGATGTAGAATTTGGTGTCATGTTCTTGGGAAATCCTCATCTCATGAGCTAGCTTTTGAGGTTAAGTTAAATTCAAAGTCCCTTTCTTTACATGGTATCAGAGTCAAACTCATCTCAATTCTTGGTTTATCCAATGTTGTCCCCCCTATATCATGTTTTGCCTAGGCATGATTGTGGGATAAGAAATTGGTCACCTTACCTCATGAAATTGCCTTCAGGATTGAGTTAGGTCCAAAATCTATTTCGCAAATGATCAAATTTGCTAACAACAAAGATAAAAAAAGTAAGCTGAAAACAGAAAATTTCACCTTGAGACTTCCACAACAAGCACAAGGACTCTCCAAATTATTCAAAGTATCTTCATCTTGACAAATACGGCACTCTGCATCCCCAATTAACGGCACCTCCTCATTCCCTTCTTCTTCTTCCTCAACAGCCAATTCCTTTTCCTTCATCGTCTTCGAAGAAGAAGCTCCGGTTCCTTCCACTACTTCGGTTGCCTTCTTCCCATTTTCAATCGGTTCCCCTGATGATGATGCATCTGCGTTCCCAACCCGGACCCGGTCCTCATCTTTCACCACCAAATGCTCACCCATTTTTATACACAAACCGCAATATCCCTATATCAAAAAACTCACAATTTCAATCAAATTCAGATAAATTAAACTAAAAATTTCAAAAAAAATTTGAATACAAACCTAAGAAATTCACCGCCCAAGCCGAGAAACTCAGCAAGAACAGAGAATTTCTGAGCATTCGGATAGAGAGAAAATTCAAAGTCAAATGCGAATGAAAATAAATATATTTTACAAAAAATGAACAAATAGAAGGGTAGAGTGTATAATAGACCTGAAAAATCAGGAAAAAAAATGATGATTGTGTAATCAGGAGACGAAAAATTAGCGAATTTGTAGCAAAACCAATCAAAATTTGATGGAACCGTTGAAATTTCTTTGAAAATTACACAAACCGAACACTGATTTGACCGCGTTTACTCTTTTGTTTGTTTTTTTCTTTTGTCCAATTAGAGACTCGGTGGCCGGATTCTAACATTCAAGCACGACTAATTCATTAGTGATTCGGGTTTGACTCAATATGAATATTAGATATCGAATCAACAAATTATTTATTACTATTTTTTGGACATGCACATTGCACTTTTACCAAATTGATGAGTAAAAAAAGTTTCAAATATTACCTCAACGAAATATCTTAATTTAATTAGGGTCCTATTATATTCGAACTCATTTTTCTTTGTATTTTTGTGCCTTTTTTGTGCTAACGTGGCACCTTCAACCAGGTAAGTGGATTGCTTTTGTAGAACACACGTCTGTCATGTGTGTAAATTATTTTTTATTATTATTTTTAAAATATTCTTATTTTTTTATCTCGTATTTGAATTAAGTTAATACACGTAAAAAAAAAAAATTAAAAATATTGCTTTGTATTTTTAATCTTCATTTGTTTTGGAATAATGCATAAGTACCCCTAAATTATAACCAAAATTCTAGCGACACACCTTTAACTTAACTACGGTCATATTAACCCCTAAACTATTTTAAAATGTGATCTATAATTATTTCATGATTGCATTCGATGATAAGTTACAAAAGAATGAAGTTGCAGGAGAATAAAATGGTTTCAAGAGAAGAAGAGGTTTAGAAGATGCATGGAGTCTAATTAATTAAGTAAATTAATTAAGTAATGTAGAATTAAAAGAAGACACTTGTACCTGTTAATTACTGTTAAGTTAAAGGTGTGTCGCTGGAATTTCGGTCATACTTTAGGAGGTATTTATGCATTACCCCAATAAAAAAAGAAATAAAAATAATTAAATATATATAAGTTTTAATGTCAACAATTGAGTGTATTAACTAATTGTAAATAAAAAGGCATGTATCCAATTTTTCCAGTCTTCACTTGCCTTCAAGAGAGAGTACACATTCTTTATGCACGACAACTTTTGGGGGTGACTTTATTTCATTTTAAATACTTAAGGGAAGGGGGAGTAATAAGACCCTAGTTAAGTTTAGGCATGTCGTTGGAGTTCCAGTCATAGTATAAGTGGGTTCTCATGCATTATCCCAATTATTGTTATAAGTTATTCTTTCTAATTGTAACGACCTATTCCGTCTTTACTGAAAATATATGCGGTAAAGGTATACACATCTCATTCATCATAGGTTTAGGATCAATTTCTTGGTATGCGAGAGTATTAGTTATGAATTAAGGTCTTACAATGCCCTTATCACAAAGTTAAGTTGAAAGTGCCTTTACCAATTTAGTTTCAGGCTTAAGTTTAAACTTCAACTTCAAACAACCATATCTCTCAACCTATAATGAAGTAAGTGTCCCATAACCTATCGAATTAAAAGTCTGTGATTTTTCCTTCCAACGCCACCAAGTTTGCATCATTTGGAGTCCAGAGTAAAAAATTGTAACTGTTTTATCAGAGATTGTCCGTGTTGAAAAACTGAGGCTACTAAAATGGAAATTAGGCAGCCACAACGGGCTACACGCTAAATGCAATTTTCAGACCTAAAATATTATTTTACTCCCAAAATGCATTCAAGGTCAGGCTAGAGTAAAATAAGGGTGATTTCTTCAGTTTTCCAATGATTTTCTCTTTCAAGATAAGTCCTTCCATCAATCTAACACTCGTTTGATTCTTTAATCCTTAGAATAACATTAAATTTACACGGTGGGGATTGAAAGTTAACCTAGGTAGGATTTTCTGGTGTAAAGGTAATTAATAGGTTGAAAATCTCTTGAATTTGAGTTAGTGTTGATAGATTATGTCCTTAGGACTGGAAATTGATCTAACCATTTCAAAATATAGAGTTTTTGAGTAGATTAGAGCGTAGAACTAGTGGATTTGAATTCCAAAGTATTTGTTGGAAGAGTAGTTTATTAATCACTCTTATAATTGTTATTATTAGATGATTTAGCCTTCGAAAACGTGACGAAGAAGGAAGATCATCAACATTATAACTTACTTGTTGCAGTAGTTTGGCCCCAGGTAGGCTAGGTTTCTTTTTTGGTAATAGACTATGAAATATTACCATACCACCAAAACAAAGTCAAGTACAAGTAAAAAGCACCCATAGACTCAACCCCCTTTTAGAGAAGAAAGTTAAATCTAGTGAACCTCAAGAGCAAAGCCTAATTACATAAACACTGAATCAAGTATTCACTCTTCCTACCGTCGAGTATCTAAACATACGTAATCTCTCCTTAATTATATTTTGTACATGTTGTATCATAAACTCTCTATTTACACTTTGTCCTCAAAAACTCTTCTAATTCATGACAATCCAAATGTTATAAATAGTAGCTCTATAGGCTGGGTTTTCTTAACTAAGTAGTTTAGACATGTTTTCAATTGCATGATAATTTATAGAGTGACAGAAAGTTTCATGCATAGACTTTTGTGTACGGAGCCTGGATAGTTAAATGTTGTTTATTGTTGTTAAGGCGAGAAAAAATAATGACTAGGGGTGGTTCTCTAGTTTTTGATTGTTAACCTTGAGTTTTCCGTTGAGGTGGTTTGGTGGTAGCTATAAGGTCAAGTGTTATGAAATTGTTGGGTTATAGTCATTTATGGGACTTGTGGTAATCAAGGGGAACTCATTTGTACTCATGGTTCAGTGTTGGACCATTGATATAGTGGTATGATTTGTGTTGTCTAATATATGTATGCATGCATGTTTACTACTTATTGGAATCACTTGTGTAATGCATGTTGGGGAATACATAGGGAAGCATATGAAATGACTTTATGTTGATAATTTTATGCAATGAACTTGTTTATGTGATTTGAGATTTCAATATTATTGTTCATTATGTTTGTGATTGTACACAATTGTTTGTGATAGCTAGTTACCACGTCGATACAGGAATACTAACGGTTGAGTCAGATACTACACCTAATATGAATACTAATGATTGAATCGGATACCAGGTCTGGTACAGGCTATCAACATCGTAGCACGCTTGTACACAAATAATAGTGGCTCGGGTATAATACCGGTACAGTAACAATCTGGGAGTGGGTTCCATGAGAGAACCGGATTTTATGTTGGTTTCTTGAGTGTACCGATTTACTTTTTCATAATATGATTGTTGCATATGGATCCATGAGTGGTTGGGATTTGTGTTTAAATGTTCTGATGGTTCTTATGTAAACTAGGTTTGCATGTTAAACACTTTGGATGTTGTTTTAGGGATTCTTGATGGTTCAGGTTACTTGAAAGGTGTGTTAAATCAGGTATGGCTTATTGTGCTGATGTTATTCATGATTATTGTGCATATCAAATTCAAGGTGAGGATTGAGAGTCTAGAATATGTTATACTTGTGATTATAATTGTATGTTATCTGTTTTGCTAAGTTGTGAATATTAGGTTGTGTTGATGATTGGGGCCTGGTGCATAGTTTAAGTGTTGGGAATGGCTATAATTTTTCAGTGTTTAAAACATATATGATAATGAGGATGTGAGTTACGATGGATTAGTTGGTCTAAGGCACCAATTTCAAGTACTTAGGGGTGTGCATCAGTTGGATCTGATTCAATTTTATGTATTATCAGTTTGGTTTATTGATTTTCGATTTTGAAATACGCTAAACCAATAATCAAACAATGTCTATAGCACTATAGCATTAGTGGTTTGAGTTCAAGTCTTCCTGGTATAGAGTTATTATCGTTAGGGGGCGTTTATCTCCCAATGTGAAACTTTTTTACGTGAATCCGAATTTAATCGAATTTCAATAGGAATAATACGAAAAATAAATAAATAAATTCATTAATGATTTTTTGGACATGCACATTGCACTTACCATATTGAAGAGTAAAAAAAATTTACAATATTATTAAAAACTATTGTTATAAGTTATTCTTTCAAGTCCATATTAAGTGAATTTGTGAGGTAATGCGTATTCATTAAAAAAAATAGAACATAGATTAAATATCACTTTTTCATTTTTGTCCTTTTAATTATTCTTAAACTATTCTTAAAAATTAAAATAATTCAAAGCAAAGTCATAAATATGAGCAATTAACTCTCTTGAGCTCATTACCTATACAAAATAAATGAAGGGCAAAAAAGAGAAAAAAAGTTCAAACATTTATCTTAAATTTTAAACAATTCACATATTTTAAATAATGAAAAATATCTCAAAAATTCAATTGAAATAAAATAGAGAGAGTATAAAAGTAAAAATACATAAAGTTTCCCCCAAAACTTGTACTTTATTAAGTCAATGAGTAAACAAGTTTCAGATATTGTTAAAAGTTGTTGTTGCAAGTTTTATAGAATAAAAGTGAAAGAAAATGCATACTATGTTTATGATAATATCCATCAACTATTTAAAATAGGCCAAATATATCCTTCAATTATCTTTGAGTGCAAACTTATCCCTCCCGTTTACTTATTGGATCACTTATACTCTTCCTTTTATTAGGATTTTATCCTGATTTTCTTATCATATTTGAATTTTACTTTTCTCTTGAAGAAAAGTTAAAGTATTACCATAATTGCTTTTACTTTTCTAGAAAGGAAAATATAATTTTCTTTCATATTTGGGTTATTTCTTCCTTGG